TGATGGAGAAGCCACACTCCAAGCTACACCAGATGGAGACAAGGCTGATGAACAAGCTACACAACAAGATGCTGCAACGGTGGGGGGCAAGGCCGATGAAGAAAACACACAAGAAAATGCTACACCAGAAGGAGACAAGATTGCTGCTGAAGAAATCAAACAACAAGAAGCTACATCGGAGGGAGACAAGGCTACTGATGAAGAAAACAAACAACAAGATGCTGCAACGACTGGGAGCAAGGCTGATGAAGAAAACACACAACAAGATGCTGCAACGACGGGGGGCAAGGCTGATGAAGAAATATTACAAGGAGCTGCACCACAGGAAAATAAAGATGGCGTTGAAGAGACACTCAACAGTACTGCACCAACAGAGGAGAAGGGTGATGAAATCAAGGTACCCGAGGGAAGTATATCGGTGGGAGACAAGGATGCTTCATCAATAAAAGAAGAAAATGCTACAACAGTGAATGATCAGGAAGATGCGACTAGTGTGAATCCAAGCAGTGTAGTAGCTCCGAATAATGAAGATGATACCAATTTAAGTAAAGCAGACGCACCATCTACCAATTTAGTAAATGAAGTACCACCAGATGATAAAACGGAAACTGATCTAAGTAAGAAATCTGATATAGATTTAAATAAAGAAGAAGTACTACGAAAAGATAGTGCTGCAGCGGTGGTGAAGAATGAAAGTGATCCAATAGCTAGCATTAATGATGGAACGGTCGAGAACCAACCTGTTTTAAATGCTGTAAATAATCAAGAACCGGACAAGAGTGTTGCTGCGATTGTAAATCAAGAAATTACACCATCACCTATGCAACAGAGTGAGTTAATTTTAAAGAAAGAAAATGACCCTTATCCGAAGAATGTTACGTCTGGAGATCCAAACATCGAAATAATAAATGACCACGTGCCAGAGATCAATGCTAATCCGATTTTAGAAGAACACATTACAATAGTACCTGGTAAAGAACCTATACTGCGCTCTATCAATAATGATCAGGTGGTTTTGAAGATGGAAGAAGACGTTGAAACAGATCCATTTCTGGTTCAGAAACCGAACGAAAATAAATCAAAAGACCCAAATGGAATGGAAGAAAAGATACAAACATTACAACAGAATTTTAAAGTAATTGCTGCGTTTAGTGGTATCCTTCTTATTTTATCATTAATCCAAGTGATTATTGGCTGCTTATACAAGAATAATTGTCCTAAGAATAGTTATATTCCAATATATCTTATTGTGACAGGCATTCTTGGTATATGTCTAGCTGCGGTTGGAGTCGGTCTGGTAAGAATTTTTTTCTTTTAAATTTTATAATGAAAAAATAAAAAACAGGTATTCATATTGTAAGATTTTTCAGATTTAGCCGATTGAAACAGCGTAATATTTTCATAACAAATAATGCTCTCCATTCTGTTCGAAAGTATATCACTAATTTAGTTTTCATATAAAGTATGAGATAGAAACGAGATAGGAGCATCTAGAATAAAATCGACAGATTTAACTTCCCAGTAATTATACTTATTATTTATTTGCAGTATTATTTCAAACGTAAACATACAAAACTAAATAAGATTGGCGTATTTTTCGGATGTTTATTAGTTACATTATATGTTGCTTGGTTTTTTCTTGTAAGTCAATTTTAAGATTGTGAAATATACATGTGACACGATATTTTTTTCGTTTAGGGATGTGTGTGGACATATGGTTCACTTCCAACGATGCAGATGACTGATCCTACTAATATCAAAACTTATTGTGATAAGACAGTTTCTAATATTGCTGTAGTAACAACAATCATTAGTGGTATATTCTCATTGGTATTTATTATCTGCAGTTACTGCGTGATAGCACCAAAAAATGAGCTTGAACCAAAAAGACCTTACTAATATTCTTAAGAACATATATTACAACTATAGAAATGAAATTAATTAAAATAACTATTTTTACTATTAATAATCTAATTGTTTTTGTCGAAAAACTTTTTATTTACAATATAACAGAAATTGTTTTTTTTGTTTATTATACAACTTAATTCGTACTGTATCTGTCGTTGAATAACTGTAGGTTTTATATATATATATATAAGGCTTTTTTTTATTATTTTATCTAGATAAACACATTTAGTTCTATTAATCAAATTAAATTTTATTCAATAATAAGTATTTTAATGCTCAGTCATATGTAAAATTGAATATTAAAAAAATAACATTTGGAAAATATCTGTATATATAAAGCCTGTAATCCAGAATAAAAACAACTATGACATTCAAAATACAAAATATTTTTTATCGAATAGATATATTGTCACCGAAATAATTTCAGAAATGAATTATCAGTTCTGATCTCATGTTACGAAGTTTCTATAGGAGAAAAATCGAATCTTAGATGTCATAAGATTTTTTATTAAGGCAACGTTTCAAAAAGAAATTATTCATAACAATGCTTGTGTCTTGTATTATCAGTAAATTAAATTCGATTATTAGATAGAACTTGAAATACTTTATATTGCTTATCTATCCAATAATTTTACTGTAGATGATCATAATATATCAGTCAATATTTTATCCTACATCATTAACTTAATGTATGTATGACTAATTTTAATTCAAATGAATAATTTTTTTGTGATTTAATAAGAAATCAACTAAATGAATAATACTACAACAAGAAAACACTAGGTAACAAAACAATAACAGAAACAAAAGAGATTAGGAACAAAAAAAACATGAACTCTTCTCTCTTGAAATAATCCCTAAATATTTGAATAAATCATTTTTTATTGATTTTTCGGTAATAATTAATTGTCTTCTCAAAAAAAGAAGATCATAATATGTAGAATTAAAAATGAACATAAAAAACTGAATACATTCACACAACGATTATCTTCAATAAATGAAGATAAGAAAGAAAAACAAAGTTCAAAATTGTTTATTTTTCATTTGTAGTTCATGTTGCTCGTTTTGTTTGATAAGCAACTTTTAATGATGTATTTTTAAGTTTTAATGATGGACCAAGTTTAACAGCAGCAGCAGCTTGACTATCATCAGAAAATGAAACGAATGCAAAACCAGGTCGAATACCTTTAGGAGTTGTTTTTGGCGGAATTAATTCGATTTTAGTCGATTTTGGAAAAAGTTTCTTTATATCTGATTCTTCAACGCTTTCAGGTAACTGACCAACATAGATTGAATTAGTTGATGTTTGTTTCTCGACTAAAAAATAAAAATAAATAATAGGAAAAATAAATGGAATTAAATACAAACCTGGTTTAGTCTGTTGTTTTTTATTTGTATTTTCTGTAGAAGCTGGTTTTTTAGTTTCTTCTTTCTTTTTTGAATCACTAGTTGTTGGTTGTGTTTTTTTTTTCAAGTTTAGCAAATGCATAAGATACATTGACACTTTGACCACCAATTTGTGTATGAGCTTTTAATGCACTACTACAATCAGATTCATTTTCGAATGTAACAAAAGCAATTCTATTAGAAATATAATCATAATAATCAGAATATAAATTAAATAAATGTAATTTACTGCATAATTTTATGATCTGGACCAATTTTTCGTTTTTGTAATTTAATTGATGTAGCTTTAGGATAAAGTGATTTCATATCCGCTGCAGTTGTACTTTCTTTTATTGAATTAATATAAAGTTGGGTTTTGCTAAGTGGTTTATCAGTTGATGGTGTTGGTTTCGGTTCAGATTTTGTAGTTGTTGATGTTGGTTTTTGCTTAGTAGGAGTAGTAGCAGTTGCTGTTGGCTGTTTTAATGAGGACTTAGCTGGTGGTGGTGGTGATGGCTCATCATCATCATCCTGAATTGATTAAAGATAAGATAATTCTAACAAAAGAAAATTGTTAACTTACACTGTCATCATCATCATCATCCATCATTTTTGACGCTGGTTGTGGTTTAACATTCGGTTTAGTCTAAATATTTCAAAACTTGTTTAAAATAAGAATTTTTTATTTTAGACTTACAACTTTGGAAGGAGCTGATTTGAGAATAGGTTTTGTTGGTGTTGGTTCGTCATCGTCGTCATCATCATCCTAAACAATAATTCAAATATTAGTGAAAATATCGACCGATAAAAAATTATTGTGACTGTGATCTTAATAACACTAAAAGTAGATTCAGAATTTTATGGAGAAACGAAAATGGATAGAACAAGTAATAGTGCGCCTTTTTTAGACAAAGTGTAATTTTGCTTATTTACGTACCGAATCATCATCATCCTCGTCGTCGTCGTCATCACTATCATCATCATCATCACTATCGTTATTTTGTAGGAATGATACTTTACCAGGAGGTTTAGCCTAAAATTTTTAATTAATCATCAAAACATGACTATTTATTAAAACTTACTGATTTTCCAGTAGACGGTGACTTAATGATAGATTTCGTAGGTACTTCATCATCATCATCATCACTATCATCGTCACTATCATCATCTTGCAGGGATGATAACTTGGAAACAGGTTTACCCTGAAAGTTCGAATAGTTAATTTGAACAAAACTAGTATTTGAACTCACTTGTTTTCCGGATACTGCTGATTTGGCGGCAAGTTTTTT